AGACGCGAGTGTGTGGTGAGTAGGACCCTGGGAAGTGCGGAAGTGCAGCGGTTTGGCAGGACCGAAAACCGGCTGGTTGCTTTCAGTTTGAAATGTGTTGTTGGTGGAGATTTTTAGACAAATGCAAGAGAACTTTTTTTTTTAATCTCCACAACATATTTATAGCTAAACTGTGCTAGAATGTTGTTAGGGGCCATGAAAAAAAATGTTTCAAGCTAATTTGTTTCCCAAATTTGCTTTTGCATCTTAAAAAAAGCTGAAGATGGCCACCCCCACACTCATGCTGCTATAACCCGAGAAGCTCTGATCTCTGAGAGGGGCTCAGAGTATAGTTCTATGCCTTTTTCCCCATTTGTGACATCACAAATTTTTGAAATTGCTTATTTTAGGTACATCATTCCTGAAACAAAACACTGACAGAAGATGGATGAATGTTTTTATTCCACGTTTGAAGTCTCCATAGAAGTAGTAGAGACCCATGTGGCAGCACAAAAAGGTGCAAAAAGTGAGTTTTGCATAATATATCCCATTTAAGAGAGAGGACAAGCTTCAACATGTTGCAACTTTATTTGTCTAATTTCTCACATCGCATATCAAGACTTCCTTAAAATGGCTTTAAAAGAAAACTATAGAACAGAGACATTATCAACATCAGAGCTTTAAAAAAATCGCAACAAGTCTTAGAGTGGAAGCTTTTTAAAAAATTAATAATTTTTTATGTCCTGACAGTGTCTAATAATTATTGCAGCATGATGTGTAGCATTACAAGACTTTTGAAATCTAAAGCCTGCAGGATTGGAGCCAGAGTCCTTACCTTGCAAGGCCACTTGCAAGTCTTTCAAGTTTTTTTCCCATTTCAAACTTCATGTGCAAAACAAACATGAGGCATGATCAGAACCCCTTACATTTAACATCTTCAGTGCAACGAGCTCAAACAAGTGTACTTCACAACTTGCAATTTGTTGGATGTTTTAAAGAGATATTCCACCCAAAATTGAATATATGTCATCACATATTTCCCAGCGTTAGTTAAGTGTGTGTGTGTGTGTGTGTGTGTGTGGGTGGGGGGTCTATTTCGGGTGGAGTATCCCATTAAACCTAATTTACTTTCCCTTATTCTAGTGGGTTCATGCATAAGATAGTGAAGCCCCATGTGTGCATGTGATTCTTTTTTCCTCCGGTGACGTAGACCTACAAAAGACATGTACAAAGACAAATACAAACCCACTGTGCATGTTGTGAACATTCATCTCCTGCAAGCCACTGTCCTCAGGAGGTTCTGGACTAATTGTGTGGAAATCCTGGCCATGGCAGTGGAGCCCTACTTTGACAAAGTAGGAGGTGCGTGTGCACTTCATCTTCTTGCACTGACTGACTACACCTTGCTCCTCCACAAGTCAGCATCTTTGAGGTGAGGTGCTGTAAACGGACGATTGAGAAAGTAACTAGTAAGTAATCTAAGGAGTTCGAGATGCCCTTGAAACTTTTCCTGAGTGGCAGTGCGGTGTCGGGGTGTTGTTCAGCGACTGCAGACAGCTGCTCCCTCCTCTTGCTGTCATCGTGCTCAGAGACGCACCGAGAGCATCCTCCTATTGCAGCAGAGAGTGATTGGTGGTGTGATTATACACTGCTCTGTAAGTTGTTTGCGAGCGCTGATTAGGACTCATCTAATGCAGCCAGGAGGGTAATTTAGCCTGTAGATTATGTGTCAAGCGCTTACTCCCATCCAGAGAGCGTAAATGTTTATATACCCATCAATCATCACTGAGACTGCTCACACCAGGTAGCTGCTCCAAAACAAAATAGTTTGACTGATGCTGCAGCCGGATGTTACTGATGGGATTCAATAGCACATCTCTTTATGGGACGCAAGCTAAGCTCGCTATCATCCACTCTGAAGTGAAAATGAGCCTATAATTAGATTCCACACATGTGATGCGGAACGTTCGACGGAGGCTGCAATCAATCGTCAAAAAACAGAAAATAAGATGCATCTGAAAAAAACCGACAGTAAAATGTGAATAAAAAATGTTTTGTGCATGCAGATCCAGTAGTTGCATGTAGTTGCAGTGATTACAGGAAGCATTTTTTCATCTCCAGACTTGATCTATTGTTCATTCTTTAAAAATGTTAAACCTGAAGGATGCAATAATACATCTAACAGATTAAATGACTCTTGTTGCAATCCCAATTCTTGTCCTGAATGCAGCATTTAAAAAAAGCTGCTGCTGTGTGTGATTTGACATTCCAGGAGCGTAGTCCTCCTGTAATGCATTCTTTTTTTCTGACTGCCCCTCCTTCATCCCTGCAACCACTCAAAGTGACACGCTGCATGGCAAAGCCCTTCTAAATGATGTAATGTGGAGACTACTATGGACAACCCTTTCTGCAAAGAACCGTGTGCCAACACACCCTTATGCACTTTTCATAAAATGCCAGCACTGCACTGCAGCTTGGTCCGTGTCCAGATAACAGTGTGTAATTGGTCCTCCCTGCCAGAGCCTGGCATCAACGCGGGCTCCTAAAAGCTCCAGTTAGAGCGCATAATGGCAGAGAATAGATCATTTATGACTATAATAAAAGAACTCGCTCGGCCTGTTTGTTACTCTTGGATGCTTCGATAATGTGAAATTCCTATGAGACCTGGTGGCCCCACTGGTCTAAATTTGTACTCTCAGTGGGAGCAAAAGCATGTCTTTTTAAAATTTGCTTCCCCCCCACCCCGAGCAAAGACTCCAAATGTTACTGGCTTTCTCAAATTAACATCAGAGTACACCAAAGTGAGCAATTTTTAAAAAAATTAAGTAGCTGCTGGAAGTTCTGTTCTGACTTCAGAGCACAAAAGGGGACCTTTTCAAATATCGACTGTTTTATCAAAATGAACCAGGAAAAAAAAAGTGATTTCAAAAAGCTTTTTATAAGTCACTCCACTGACTGGATGCAATGTACGCAGGGCTAAACGTGAATTTTTTACAGCCTACCTTTCAAGCAAAGGTTGAACATTTGATATTCAGATAGACTTTAGATGGAGTATCACTTCAAAGAGGCGTATTTGTCTCTAATGGAACTTGAAAGCTCATTTTGTCTTTGAACGAGTTGAGAACCTTGAGATCCACAAAAAACGAAATAAAGGAATTCCAAGCATGACAATCGGCTCGTGTCACGCTCTGAAGGACTACACACTTAAATAACGGTTTTTATTTACTTCTGCATGAACAGTTTATTAGCTGGGATTAAATGAGTATTCATCAAACCGAGAACCTGCTGGGACGTCAGAGGGAGTGACAGTGACAGGCATCAGCTCCAGTCTCAAGCTGCTTGTTTGCCTCTAGGTGCATTTTAACAAGGCATTTGTTGATGAAGCTGTAAATGTTTGCCATATGGATTGGGATCTCAGCATCATGTGATGCGTCATGTTTCTCCATCCACTCCCCATCCTTGAGCTTTAGCAAGAACAGGTCAGCTGGTGCATAAATGCAACATCTCCAAAGTATCACACCTCCACCCTGCTGACCACCTGTTGACCCCAATGAATGCCTATCATTTTATCCTCACTTACTAAAAAAGCTGCATGGTCTGAATGTAATGTCACCCATAAAAGCCCAGGAGCACCAACAGGATGTCAGAAGTAAAAAAACAGATAGTTTCACAAGAATCTTTGAATTATGTGAGCTAAGATTAGATGTGACAACTACAAAAAGGAAGTCAACAGGTTGGTTTCTGTGTAAACAGCTTGTCCATGCATGTTGTCCTTCATGTTTACTTTAAGTCAAACTAGAAACTCATTTAGGAAACAATCCTGAGCAAATGAAAAAGCAACCTTAGCGGATTTTCAAAAAAAAATTACTCCAGGCATGATTTCCTCACCGACACAACCGCCGTGTTTTACTTTGTTCTTGGATAATTATAGCTAGCAGCACTGGGTTAATTGAACTGAAAAAGGTTATCTGGTAGAGTTCAAGCTCTATAGCGCGAGGGAACAAAGCCTATCAGGAAAAACTCAGGGTTTCAAACCTGAATCTGCACGCTACATTTATCTTTAAGAACAGATTTCAACAGGATTCTTTGCCATGTTTAATCATAATACAAGGCCAAACCTCATTGGCTGTAGTAGCAGCTAGAAGAATTTCCCATTTCATTCGACATTGATACAAACTGACCACTTTATAACTCAGATTTGATAACAGCCAGTAGAGATGTAAGAAAATATCAAAACATGAAATATGGTGATATTTCATGTTTTGGTCATAAATCAATTTTTTTTTGAAGTAGTGCATCAAATTTACATGCAAACTTACTGCATTTCTTATTTGTGGTGCAATTCAAACTCCTGACCGCTAGGTGGCAGAGGTTTTTACCGCCATCATTCAGACAGAACGAGATCTCACGCCAGACATGTCAGGCCTGAGTTTACCAAATAAAGAGCAAGTCACCTCCAAATCAACTATTTGCTGATAATCTGTAAATGAGCATCAAATAGTGCTCTGGATATGTGTAATGTCATTTTAGCGCATGTTTTTTAAAATAGAAATATTGTGTAAAACCATCAGTGTAGCACACTCTGCAGGTTAAAAGTCTACACTACATTTGAACTGGCCATTGCTAATGGTTAAGTAGTACAATGACACTGCCTGTTCCATGTGACATGGCTGCACTGCACTGCACCAGTCTCGGGCACGCCTCTGGCTGGCTCAGCCACTGCTGCCCTCTTAATCCAACAGGCGACACCTCCTTTTGATGCAGTTCTCAAATAGGAAGTGTGGGTTAAGTAAGACCTTGGTAAGAAGGTGACTTGGTCTTTAAATTCAGTCAACAAATTGCAAATATTGTTTGGTTTGCACATGCACACACACACACACCTAGCTAGCATAAAGGAGATATTTTTACAGCTAAAATAAATATAAACCTAACCTAACCAACATTAAATATTCAGAATTCAAAGCTTGACTGATTTTAAAAAGTTTGGCTTAAAAATGTCAAAAGAAAAAACAAAATAAACATTTTCATATTTAGGGAAACTTTATTTACAAAGACAAATGAATGGTTCCCATTTTTCTGCATGGATAGAACCCTGAAGGATCAATATGTTCCAGCTGAAAACCTGCAGAGAAAAAAAAACAAGACAAAAGGTAATAAAATAACATACATGTAATTTATTTAAAAGATATACAATAGAGAAAATGATTAAGAGGTGCTGGGAAAGGTTGATTGGCTGTGTTCACTTTACAAACTGATTCTGCAGCAAAGTAGCCTGACCAGCCAGACCCGCACTTCCTTATGGGAACTGTCATCAGTGATTCCCCTACGCTCCACGGCTACGAAATCAACCCCCCGCTCTCACGGCCGATGCATGGCACCGAAACGTTCCGTGAGCTTTTAACCCCTCTCATGGCAGCGAAACGATCCTCGAAAAACAAACAAATAACAGCAGCTTAATTGCATTTTGTTCCTTAAACTGTGTCACGTAGTTTTGCAAGTTCTGCACGCTCACACGTTCAACAGCGAGCTCTGCCAGCTGACGGTTCTTCTGTAACTAGAGACATCAGTACAGTTCTGGTACTGAGCAGCATGAATGCATCCGCGGATTTCACTGTAGTTGGTGTTCAAAGTGAATTAAACAGGGTATAGAATCAATCAAATATAATAATATTAATGCTGTGAACATGTATAGATACTTTATCATACATTCTCACAAATGTCCAATCACACACCACAATGCTCAGTTTCTCATAAACAACGGAGGTGGCGTCTGAAGCAGAGCTCGCTGCGGCTCTTTCCTCTGTTCTAAATGACTTGGACATGTCTTTAAAATCACAACAAGTAGAAGCGTTAAAAGCCTTTCTTCTAAAGAAAGATGTTTGGCCAGACACCATTTGTGACTACAGCTAAAAAACTACAGCGTTGTGCTGCACAGTCGGCATTTCCGCCTTTTACCGATTGGTTATTTTTGAGCAGGGTAGCCCCGCCCCTCAGGTGCCTCTCTGCTTGTGAGTAACCAGACTAGTTATCTCTGTAGAATTAAACAGAGGACGCGTCTGGCAGGCCAGGCTAGCAGCAAATGCCCTGACATGTTAATGAAGTAGATCCACTGGATCAAAGATGTAAGTGAAATTACCTCAGAGGGTGAATAACAACGCTGGTCCATTTCACTTTTTCAGGATCTGATGTCTGACAACAATGAAGGGGAATGCAAAGCCACTGCCAAAGAACAGCACCATCATGCCCAGCAGACGCCACTTGTTTTCCACAGAAAACGGCAGGTTCTGTAGAAAGATGACAAAAGGTAATCAAAGACGTTTGTGAATGATTTGATGAGATTAATCAGGACAACTATTTGAAAACATAGTAAAAGTTATCTGTAAGAGTAGGACATCAGAAGGAAAAGTATGACAAGTCATAGAAACAATTTATGCAAGACAATAAACAACACATCTGCACTTTCATGAACATAGACTAAAGCAAAGTCTTGTGATAGGAGAACCTAATCCAACATTAGGGATGGTAAATTATGTGTGTTTGCATTTAAAGAGCAAGTAACACCTAAATGAACTTTTTGTGCTGATAACCTGTATAGATGAGTGTCTAATGGTGCTGTACACGAGTAATTAGTGTGGCACTTTAGTGCAACTTACTTTAAATCTAATATTTGAGCCCAACACCATAATTCTATCTCAATCTTCAGGTTAAAACTCTGCTCCACATTTATTTACCATCGACTACTTTCTTCTACAATCTGCTCTTTAACTGTATTATTTCCTGCAATTTCAGCTGTTAACTTAATTTTTTCTCTAAGTGTTTTTCTTCCCAGAAGAAGCTACAATGATGTTCTGCTGAGCTGTGGTGCCCTCATGGAGGGGGGCCATCGGCTTCAATACCGTTGCTAACCACTTAAACATTCTCCCTCTCCTGATAAAAACATTTTACTTTCTTTGACATTGAATGTGCTACTACTAGTTTACCCATTTAATTATAGATTCACTAGGATAAACACAAAGTTTATCTCTCACCAAATAGAATATTTACTAAGAAATGACAATGTAACGATAGAAACATTACTTGGTATATATGTTGTGTGTGGATGTGTGTGTGTGTGTGTGACTGGGTTGGTGTTGGTGTATGCGTGTGTCTAACTCTGACAGCATTAGCTTAGCATTGTTTGGTTTAGCTGTCTAAACGGAGCACTAATTGTCAAATTCTTCCATACATTGCTAATGATTAGTCTAAAATGATGGTAAAAAAGCACAACTGTCTGTGGATTTATATTTTCGGGTATCAGCACAACGCTCGTGTTCAGTAACAAACATGACCTCCAAACAGCGCTAGCTAACACCAGGCTAACGAAGACCGACAGGGCCATTTTACTAACATTAATAATTGCGTCGCTCTGTAAAAAAAGCACAATACCTTTCCTGGTCCTTCAGCGTAGTGTGAAGAACGAACAGCAGATGTTGCGAATCGTCTTACGGCTTGTCCAAGCATGGTTATATCCTTATTTCTGACGAGCTTTAGCACACAGCTCGACCTTCTTGCTTCTGCAGGACGCAATGAACTCTGGGATATGTAGAGGCGCGTGCTGACTCATGGGAAATGAAGTTTATCCACCTGCGCGAGAAATCTGTGTATTTGAGTGACACTAGACCAGTGCCTCATTTGATTTTGAATCAAAATGGTTGTGAAATAATCTGTTAAATAAACTTGATACTTAAGATGAAAGAGAAATGAAGGTGGGAATGTCAATTTTTTTTAACAAATCGTAAGATATTGTCAGTTTCTAAATAAGAATAATTATGTCACACACACAAAAATCTGTAACCTATTACATGCCAAACCCCTCTGAACACTGATGTCATTATATTTGCTTAGCACATCAATCAGCTGGAAAATGTTTCACCACCTAAAGAATTAGAATTGGACTGGATTGAATTGAATTCCAGGCATAATTCCAAATGAAGTTACACGTTTCCAGGAAGAGTTTAAATAATTTATTTAACTTAAGAAGAAACGTTTTAGGTGATAAAAAAGCTGACTAATGGCCTTTGAAGTACATCTTACTGTTAATTAGGCACATTTTTTAAAACTAGGTTTATAAATATATAGCCAATGCTGTTAAGTCAAGTAAATAAAGTCAATCGAGTTGAGCTTTAATTATTTTCACTTGAGAATAAAATAATTCACATTTAATCTAAAATTTTGACTTGTACCTATATGAGCATAGTTTAATTTTGTGCGTGACTGCAATGACAAAACCTTGTTTAATAATCCAAACACAGCTTTTGCCAGAAACCCACCTAGATAGGGAGAGAACATGAAACTGACACAATGGCTGATGTTTCAACTATCCCTTATTACCACCACAGATATGACTTTCTGCTGATTATTGCTAATGTTGTCAAACAGATTTTAGAGGATGATTAACTCACCAATTTTAATCCACACACATAACAAACCTCCATTCAAAAATGAAGTTTACCATTAAAGTCAGTTTTCAGATTCAATTAAAGCTGGAAATATATTGTCTTTTATATCTGTGATTAAATGAATGACTCGGCAGTTTATATCTGATTTTTCCTTCTTGATTAGTGCTTCAGTTATTCCATATACTTTTTGTATAGATTTATTTACATTTACAAACCCATTTTTCTGCTTGAAAATGACTTGCCCACACATTAATGAGTATATTTCTGTAACCACAACATCTATTTGATTACTTCTGGTCTCACTTCAAAAGAAACTCCTTTGGAGGTTGTTGAGATGAGTAAATATTAGTATGTGTGTTTTTGATTAAATATAAATGCGCAGGGAACATTGTAAAAAAGACATCTTGTCATAATTATCTTTGATCTTTTTTAAATTCCATTTTTGCCAGTGTTTCAATCATTTTGTTTTGTATGTTGTGAGAGGTGTATTTTGCATTTTCTGGGATGTGTTTTTTTATTTCATTAAATTTAGAGTCTTTGCCAGTGTGTAGTCTACCATTTTTAAGAACAGTCTTACAGAGAAATCATCACCGCTTTCCACACGTTCATTTACTGCTAGGAACGGAACTACTTCGCCAATAGTTTTTACGTAGTATCTGTTTTTCTCGATTTGAGTGGGACTTATTAAATTACCTATCGTTTCCTCTGACCACTCTTTGGGACATTTCAGACCAGGCTTTTTCATTTTTTATGTGGCATTGACTTGATGTATGCTTTGTGAATCCCTTGTCCTTTTCCAGTGCTGTTTTCCAATTATTAAATCTTTGTTTTGTGAAAGCCAAATCCATATCATTGTTCCCCCCAAATTTACGACATGGGAAACAAAAGCACGCATCCAGCTTTACTGAATATTCCAGCCATGGTCTCCCACGATACTAGGCAGGGCAAAATTAGCGCATGTTCTTCCCAAAATGGCGCTTGGGGAAAACGAGAGCGGTGGGTTGGGACGGTGCGCTACTGTTCAGGCCTGTGTCATCCACGGCGACGGCTGGGTTGGTAGCGACGGGGACAGCAGGAGGGTCTGTGGTGCTTGTGCACCTGGTTGTGGCGAGTTGAGAAGCAGCAGCCAACGAGCCGGCTAGTGCCTTAGCACTGTTGCTCAGTTTAGAAACCAGAAACCTGAGCATGTCGACTCGGTTCACTTCAAAAACAAATTAAAGAAGAGAATGCGGCAAATTAAAACCTTGAGAAAGAGTACCAAATAATTCCAGTGACCGGCAGAAGAAAACTTCAACTAGTGGCTGAGCTCAGATAACAATGTCTCTGTGTTCTGCTGCTGACTGTCTGGGAGAGTGTGAAGCGAGTGAGACACAGAGAACAAAGTGCAGTGGCTGGCCGCACCCTCCCTATGCATCTACCAATCAGTAGCTACTTCGAATGAGGGAGAGAGAGAGAGGGAGGAGAGCACTCTGACCCTTTTTCATCAGATCTTTTCAAATTTTGGGATTTTTACATGTCATCGTATTTGGGGGCAGTCACTATTTTTAGGGGGGCATTGCCCCTCCTTGCCCATGCCTACATCCGGGTCCGGTCAAGGACCAGGACCAGGCTGTCAATTCCCACCCAAGAGACCAAAGCTGCATCGGGAGGCCTATGAGCCCAAGGAATTCTCAGCCATGATCCAGCAGAGCAACAAAAACCAAGAACCAAAATTCATCAACTCGCCAAAGGTTTAGGCAATGATGAAGTCTCAGTTTCCTTGGGGGTAGACAAGCTTTTCTCAGCTCCTCCCTCAGTAATACCCAGCACATGGCTAACATGACCAGAACACCCATCAATCCAGCAAAAATGGGCCAAATCCAATCCAAAAAGCTAGCGATCCAAACCACTACAGCACCATAAGTTGTTCTGAAGCCTGTTGCCACAACATGTCCAACCTCCACAGCCGCTGTGACCACCTTGGAGCCCAAAGAATATTTCAGAGTCTCATACTATGTGCAGACCTACTGAGCAGACCCCAAACCACAAAACTACCAGCGCTCTTCAGGAAACTGACAAGTGAAGTTGAAATATATCCTGTTGGCACCCAGCCCTGTAAACCCAATGACTTCTTCCCTTGCACAATAAACACAAAACGTCACTGATGAGCTGTTTGTGAAGGGGATAAGGGCAAGGCAGACTTCAAATTTCAAGACACTATTGCCTTGCAGTGTCACGTTTTCTTGCAAAACTGGCTAATAAAGCACATTGATTGGTCATCACTACATATTTTCTTCTAAAGATTTAAGGGAACCTATCACAATCCATGTCACATATCACGACACGTCATGTTTCATATTATCATTATTTGGAAAATGAGGCATGTGACAGCAGGTGGTTAGCCCCATCATATCATCAATGGTCTGATGGTCTAAATGTCCTTGATCTGCCTTCAGCTGTCCACTCACATCTGGTTGATAATTTTTGGCACCTTTCCAGACTGCTGTAGCTGGTTTTGGTCAGATTTTGATGCTGTAAGTAAATTAATTATTTTTAGTCAACAAATCAGTATCAGTTGTGCACTATTTATTGTAATTAAATGTCACAAAATATAGACTTGATTTCATTTTAAGTAAATGTTTCAATAAATAACCATTTTCTTCAACTGCTTTAAATGACCTCCAGAAATGGCTAGAGGCCTCGTTTGTCTCAACATCAAGAAAACTGTGTGCATGTTCTTCTCCAAACCAACATCAAGACTGACACCAGCAAAGGTGTATCTGAAAGAAGAAGAAATACAAAATGTTGAACAATTCAAATACCTTGGGGCTATGGTTGGACTCAAAATTATATTTTGGAATACATGTGCAAAATATTGTCAAAACTGTAAATTATAATTAGCATAATTTTAAACATATACGAGTGTCCCTGACAGATAAAGCAGCAGGCACATTTTTACATTCAATGATACTGTCTCACATTGGCTATTGCATCACCAGCTGGTCATTTACTGCCTCTTCTGTTATCAGACCTGTTGAGTCCTGCTATAAAAGGGCAATGAAAATCCTGGACAAAAAGCCAATGTTGTATCATCACTGTCCGATTCTGGATAAATATTCTCTACAGAGTTTCCTAAATTTTAAACATTTTAAATCTGGTTGCCTGGTCTATAACGTTATTCATGGTCTAGCCTCTTCACCACTGAATGATTTTATTAATAAAAAAAATCATATAGGGACTTTCCAGAGTAACTCCAGCTACAGTAAGCTCCCTCTTGGCGAATGGCATTTTCTCAAAATGTTCTGTCATTCCGGGGCTCGACTTTTTGGAACAGCATTCCTACTCAAGTGAGAAAAAGCTCAAGTTTTGTTACCTTCAAAAGACAACTGAAACTGTGGTTACAGGAAAGTCAAAGATGCAATCATAGATGACACTTTTATTTGTTTTCACTCTTGTCTGTTTCGTAAAATATGTTCCTAACTGTTTTTTTTTGTCTTTTTATCTGTCTTATCTCTTTTAATATTAACCTGCCAGAGGACTGCAGATGGAAATTAGCCTAAGGCTACAAAATGGCATATTGTATTGTTGTATTGCAATATGGCAGTTGTATTGCTGTTCATAAATATGCAATGTCCTCTCTTTAAATAAAGGATCAAAATAAATAAATAAATAAATAAATAAATAAATAAATAAATAAATAAATAAATAAACTCAGCGAAACCTTCAAATACACTTTTCCATGGATTTTTCAAATTTAGTTTCTAGCTCCAGTTAAGCATTTTAAGATCAGTGGTTAAACTTGTAGTCATTTGTTTTTTTAATCAGTAGCAATGCCATTTGAAAAAAAAAGCATGGTCTATTTGCAATAATGCATTGCTAAAAATTGCCAAAACCTCCAAATGTGATTACTTTTAAAGGCAAGAAAAGAAAGTTTTGTTTATACAGCACATTTCAAAAACAGAGGCAATTCAACGTGCTTTTCAGGTCCAACAAAAACAAAAAACTGTACATGTTATAATCAAAATGACAACCTAATGCAGTAGATTTAAAAATAGAACTTAAAATACACAAATAAAACAGAAAAAAAATCTAAGTTAAAAGTCTAAGCAGTTTAGTGGATAAAAAGTGTATAAAATCAAAAAAAGACAATACATTTTATGGAAGATATTAATATTTTTTGTTGATCTGTGGGCT